TCCAAGTTGAGTTCAGGTACAACCTTTGCATTTGTTTTTGAAGCTCCGTAAGTGTAGTCATATTGGCATTCAAATATAGTGCCATGGCCCCAGTCATTCCAGCCGACCGTTTGCGCACTCGACGCCTACTGAGAACCAAGACAGGGCAGGACAATGGACTGACAAGTGGCTGAAGCGGAGCGGAAACATCACCAAGCAAGCAATCACGCAAGCAACCAGCCTGAAAGGACATGAACGACGACGCATGAGCCAGAGGTGCTGCGACTATTGCGCCACCCCAACTTAGCAAGACATTTGACAGGCCAGTGAACGGCCTTGAACCGTTCCGAGCGGCTTTGATCCGAGTTGTTGCGGCGTGGCTTTATCAGCAGAGGGGCTTACGGGAGACTCAGCTAAGGCTCGCAAGCAGCCGGGCAGCCCGGCGGGCGTGGGCTTGGCAAAGCGCGTGAGGGGCAAGCGATGTGGCCGCTGGAGTGTTTGAGAGCACTTGGCGGTGGTTGTGAAAAATAGGGTAACCCCAAAATGGAACCTTGGTAAATGGAGGCATGGACTAACACCTGCGGTTTTTTTAGTGGCTTAATTTTGACCCACACCCACTTCACTGGCTCTGGTCGGTATTCTCGGCTGCGGTGCCAAACGGCGAAAGGGGCAAGGGCTCTAAGTTTGGCGGGTGCTGCTGGTTAAAGAGCAAGGCAGTTCGCTGGGTTTACAAATTCTAGGGAAGTTCGCAGTTGACTGTTGAGTGCGGACCTCATGTGGTACCACGATTGTGGCACCACGCATTGGCCGGGTTGAGCCAGCAGCTGGATTCTCAAAGGCAGACCGTTGGCTTCACGTGGGGCATGCTTAGAATTGAATCAGGCATCCACCAATTGAGACTGGGTGGCAAGACACTTTTTTGTTTATCCACACATTTTGATAAGTCTGGGTTTCCATCGGCTTCCCCTTGATCAGCGGGGTTCTTGTTTTGCCGAAGTTCACTGCTCATCAGTCAAGCGGCCACCTGGACTAAGGTTTGCCTTCCTTTCCCGCATGGAAGGCTCCGTCGCGCGCTGAGGATTTGGATGCAGTTGGCTTGGACGACAGCTCGTCGGATGGTGCTCACGACTCTCTCTTGGAGGAGGGTGACGATATGCACGTGCCGGCCTGAGAGGGGCTACACGAGCGAGTCGCAGCGCCACCGACCTGCCTGCTTGGTGCGTACGATGGGGAAGCGTTATGAAGCGTTGATGGTGAGAGGGCCATTTATTGGATTTGTCAGGTGGTATATTCCATGTTTTACTTGCGTTGTTTGTGACAAGAAGACGGAGCGAGCTCCTGCTGCTGCAATGAGATGCAGGCAGACTTGCTCGCTCAAAGTGGCGCACATGCTGCGAGTGTTTATTTGCACGCAAGACTTGTCTGCCGAGGGCCTTCACCACCGCATGATGGACATTCAAAAGGCATCTTGGCGGGTGACAAGCATACTGTACACTCGAGCTTTGCCAGACGCCTTTTTCTTGGTGGCGCATGTTTGTTGTTTTATCGTGTGTAAGTTACTCCCATGTCATGGCTTGGGCCATTGGCTTTTACTGTCGGCATGTCACTGGTGGTGCGGTCGACGCTGCCGAGCTCAGGAGAAAGCGGATCTCGAAATGCAGCTCGCGCGATGGAAGGCAAAGGCTGACAAGTTTCTTGACTGCAATAAGAGCAACTTGCACCCAACTCACAGAAAGATGTGCAACCAAAAAAGGTTTCGCTTCGCAGGGTTGAGTCCGTTTTTTTACTTTTCCTGGCATAAGCTTAAGAGTTTGCCACCGACTCTACCGTTGAATCAAGCAGGTGCCCAAACCAAGCCCTCGCAAGTCGAGTGTGAGGAGTATGCTCAATTGCTCTTAGGAGTTGTCGCTTGTGAAAGTGTCGCTGTTGTTTGATTAAGAAAGCACACGTATGTACATGGGAAGTTTCCTGGGCTTCTGAAGGACGTGCTTTGTCCAACTGCCTAATTAATGCAAAACCATGCAACAACCCTCCACACATGTATGCCATGTGTGCAACCTTTGCGTCGCAAGGCTAGATCATGAAATCAAGCACTTGGAGGTGACTTGGCTGCACGCAGCTTTGCGCGTTTGTGCCCGCGATGCCTGGGTGGGCGGATGGGTGGCTGGGAGGAGCGAGCGACTGAGCGACCGACCGGCTGAATGAGTGACTAGCGCATCGACAAGGTCAAGAGGAGCAACTAGTATCGCCACATTCTGAATGCATATGTCAGCAAGATAACTCTTTTGGCGTGGCACCACTGTTTGAAGCCTGGTGACAAGCGATATCAAGCCGTGTTTGTGCTTTGTTCTCGTTGCCGCAATGGTGCAGCGCTTTGCTGTCATGTGACTTGCTTCGCGCCGAGGGGAAAGAGAGGATCATTGCAGACAGGCTTGACAACCACAGCCCTCGCCTCAGCACAGCTCATGGCTTAAGCATTCGGAGTCACATGGCTGTGGGTCAAAACCAATGGTGCCATTTTGGGGTAGGTGCGATTAGGTGCACCACCCATGTTAGTCTATTTTAGTTGGGATTGGGATGTTCACTGGGAGTACGGGCTTTGGACCCATATCAGTGTGTGTGTGTGTGCGTGTGTGTGTAAGTGAGTGAGTGAGTGAGTGAGTGAGTGAGTGAGTGAGTGAGTGAGTGAGTGAGTGAGTGAGTGAGTGAGTGAGTGAGTGAGTGAGTGAGTGAGTGAGTGAGTGAGTGAGTGAGTGAGTGAGTGAGTGAGTGAGTGAGTGAGTGAGTGAGTGAGTGTGTGTGTGTGTGTGTGTGTGTGTGTTGTGTGTGTCCGTGTGCCTGCACGTGCGTTGGTACGTGAGTGCGCGCGTGCGTGCGTGCGTTTAAACTGTGTGCGCTCTGTGGTGCATAATGGCGCCACCGACCAGTGAGCTATCTAAACAAAATTTGCACTGTGCGGATCTACATGTTCAAATGTATTCGCTGGCGTGAAGCTCTGCTGCGGTACGCAGCAGGTGCCCGCAGTTCATCCCACGGCGCTCATGCGCTGATGGGTACATGGGCCACCGAATCCCTTTCCCTGTGGAAGAGTCCAAGCAGATAAACAAAAGCAAATACTCAGAAATACAACTGCAGTTGTGATTGGCAGGGAATTTGTTGGCTTAGTTGGTACCGTATTGGCCTAGTGCATTGGAGTTTGGAAACAACATGTCTCAATATGAATTGGCTGCGTTTCTGAATCGAGGCAGAGAGATTAGTTAACTTGAATTGAGTCGCGTTGGTTCAATGTAGGTTCGGCTCTCCCTGCGAACTGCTTATAGGGCATGCGAGGTGTGGTGGGTTGAACTGTGCAGGCTCCCAGTCGGACGCGGAGGATGATACTCCACCTGGGCCAGAATGTGTTCACTTTGTTGATGGCTCCTTGGCATGTTGCTGGCCCTGCGAGCACGCACTACCTTAAATTACCTTAAAGACGAATTCTCGAAATTACATGTGCTGGATACCATTCATCAGTTGTGTGGGGATGTTTTTTGGAGTATTTGTTGTCGGGGGGTTTTGTTATTGGAATTCTGGTCTGGGGTGAACCGGTTGGGCTGCACTGAGAGCGAATATGAATTCAGCCGTGAAGCGGCCGGTTGCAAACAGCATGTTGGGCGGCAGATTGCATGCACTTGGCACGCCATCCGTTTATTCACCCATTGTTTGTTTTGGTATGAGTGACAATTCTAGGGAGTGGGCGCCCATTCCCTTCAGCAGTGAGCGCTGGCAGGTAAACATGGTTTGACCAGGCTTCGGAGCGATCGCACCCATGAGGCATGCAGGGCTGCCCTGCCATGCCAATGTGTGTGTGTGTGTTGCCAAAACTGCATGGTTCGTTGGTTGGTCGTTTGTGGTCGCTGGAAGCGTTGTTGCAACGCAACTGCTTGGGCAACAGGCAGCGCACAGTTGAAGTCTTATCACGGAGCGCAGCTGGCTAGCTTGAGTGGGTTCACCGCCGGTATCATTCCAGAAGACACCAATGTAACAAGACCATAAGGTCACAGGTTCCAGTTGCCCTTGTCAAAAGATGCGGACAAGGATCGTGAGCTGTGGAACGCAATCAGTTCGATATGCGCTCTCAACTGTAAACATGTTATTCACGGGCTGTGGGTTTGTGATGGACCTGGGAAGAATATTGCACAGCCCAGGCGCGCTCTTCAATGCCTTTTCCATGTTCATTGTGGCCTGGCAGTTTATTTGAAGGTGTTTCTGTTTTAATTATTTGGCGTTTCAGATTAAAGCTGGCCTCGAGGAGGCTTTGCTTGAGGTTTGTGACCTGGGGGGGAGGGGTGGCAAGATTGTGGGATAAAGGGAGGTTGGTTATGGTGCTACCTGCTGTCGTTACACCTTGCCCGGACGCATGCGTTGCCCTTTGCTTAGATTGCAATTTCGATGTTGCTGGTTCACAAGCGTGGGGGGATACTTACGAAAAGGATCAAAAGACTTTCCAGCAGCAGGCTGGTGAAAAGGCAGCCTTTATTGGCACTCTTGGAGCAAAAACTCTCGGTCCGTGCTTTGCCAGGTTACAAGACGGTTTCCCTCGAGGCATCAAGCACTGGAGAGTTGTTGCTTGCAGTTGATGTTTGTTCTCATGGTTTGTAAACGAGAACTGAAGTGAAAGCACTTTGTCATTTCTAGCACGGCAGCAAGCTGACCCGGAAAGTAGCAGCTGGATGGGGAAGGCGGGTCGGGCAAGCACATCCTCAGGTGTGACGCGGGGTTAGGAAATGCCAACGGTGCACCTTGCCACTTCAAGCCCATCAATGACTTACATGGCCAAGGGCAAGAAAGACCTTGCGCACAGTCAAAGGCAGTGCGTGTTTTAGGTAGGGCACCTTCATTCACATACTCCGACCTATAGTGATGGCTGCTTGCATATTGACTCAGGTTTTTCCGTCCGAGGAAAAACAAGGCAAGCTGCTTAAGTGGCATACCCGGGCTGCGCGCTTTTCAAGCAGAGGTCTTCATCAACGTGGTCATCATGGTCGGCAAGCAATATTGGGATCCACTGATGAAAATCTCGGGCGCCGCTTGGTTTACTTGGTGTTGATTCCACGTGTGCATGTTTTGTTTTGGCTCGGTTGGTTCAATGGTTTCTTGTCGTTTCTTAGCGGGTTTGGTTGTAAGTTTTTGTTTTTTCGGCCTTGCTTGGCTTTGATGTTTCGTTCATGCCACGCAGCCCTCCGAATAAGGGTGACAGCAGCAGAGCCGCGCTTTGAGAGTCGGAGCTTCCTGAATTCCGACCAAGGCCTTGTGGTGGGTGGATCAGGCCTTCTTGGTGTTCTACATCGTGGCTCCAGTCTCAGTGTTTTTGCTGGGTTTCCCGTGTTTCGGGTTCCTTGCATGTCCGATCCTATGGCAGGCTCAGGTATTTAAATGTGTTGGCTAGCTTCTTTTTGCCTCAGAGCAAGTTGGAGACACTTGCATGCTTACTCACCATGATTCCGATTCATACACTTGTTGTTGAGCTCATTGGTGTGGCCTGAGGAGCTGGGTCTGCGATTCACATTGTGGCATGACCAGCTTCTTCTCCACCGCCCATGCATGAAGACGTGGCCCTACTGGCTGGATACCATCATTGTGCTGCTCGGGTCAATGGAGGTAGCTGTGGGTGTGGTGCTCGTGTGTGGAAACTGCTGTGACTTTATGCCCTTTTCTTAGTCAAGGCTGCCCGTCACAAACATGCATGCACAAAGCGTCCAAGAGCTTCTAAGATAGTATAATTATAGAAGCGCGGGCAGCATGCTTGTTGTTCAACTATCGGACATGTTGCGGGAACCAGCTGTACATATTGAAGTTTTTGGTGTAGCACTGTCAAACAACATACCAGCAACAAATACATGTGGAACCTCAGCGGTGTTAGCGTTGCCAAGTGTCACGGTTGCCATTTTAAACACTATGCTTATGTTTCCCTGTGGCATCTCAATATTGCATCAACAATTCTTCAAGCCAGAGGCACTGCGCATATTTGCGCGATGGCTTTTGTTTGTTGACGTCGAAGTGGGGCTATCTCCAGGCACGGCACCCACACCGCCAACTGCCCACAACACCTGTGGAGGTCTGCGTCAAGCCTCGAATTCTTTTGGCGCGCGTGAGTTGATGGCCCTGAACCTCGTCCACAGTAGCCATTGGAAGGAGTTGCAGTGAAGGGGAAGCTTCAGGTCACGTAGTCCAGAGTATTTCTGGTTAGGGGAGCGGCACATTGACATGGCACCATGGCACCATGGCGCCTGTTTGGATTTGAGGCTCACTTCTATCATCGAGCAGTGGCTGCTGCCCTGTTTCACGGACGTCTCGGGCACTGGGTTCGGCGCACTGCGGATCTTCAGGCGGGGGCGGGTGTTGCATGTTGTGCCTGTTATCTGAAAGTGAAACAACAAGTCAAGCTAGCTGCCGCCAACAAGCACTTCATTTGCGCGTTTGAAAATGTAGCGTTGCGTCTGAAGTGTCCAATGCCCAGCCATCGGCTTAGGGCCAAGCACAGTGAGTGCCATAATGAATGTGGCCTCCTGTGCCCTCCGCGTGCCGAGCCGTACAGCAAGGTAGGACTAACAGGAAAAGAAGTGGATTCTGGCAGTCCGATTTCTTTTAAAAGCAGAGATGGATGGCCCAAACGGAAAGATGAGTGTGAAAAAACAGAAACGACGGACAGATGCGGGAATCTTTGGTCACCTCTTTTGTGATGAGGATCCGCCGGTTTTCGAGGTGTTTCCCTACTGTGCTCGGCCAGGATCTTCCGCTTTGTTCGCATCCTCCGCGTTTGCGGAAAGGCCATACGCCTGGGAGAGGGGCAGGCGACCTCATCGTTGCATGCGAAGCCCACCCTGATTTGCCCAAAGCCGGCACTTTGTTCAATACATGCCAATCTTTTCATGACCCCACGGGTCGTCATTCCGACGATGACGCTAATGCCGGCTACAAACTTCAAGTTTCTTGATTACGACAACAGGCCGCCTCTGAATATATTGTTATTTTCAGATCCAGACCTTGAGGGTGGCGAGAGGGGGGGGGGCATCTATATGACCACTGAATCATTGGTAAGCACTGTCCTGCTGTATAGGGCTTCTTAAACATGAAGGATTCAACGACATCGGCGCGAAACAGTCCAAGATCAGTCCTTTCAGCGCGGTCTGAAAGATCCGACTTTGCGGCTCCTTCATTTCGTGTGTTGCATTTTCTTATACCCAAAAGGGACACATTCCTTTGGGAGTTCAGTGAGCTCCGACTGCGTGGGGCCAGGCTTCATCGACGGCAGACTGGGCGGACAACGACCTCTTCGTGGCATTCATGCCGCTTTTCTGGCAATCCAGAGGTTGAAGTAGATACACGTTGCCCTGAACTGCACCAAGCCTGGGTCGCTTCGGCGACTTGTCCCCTCCTGGCGCCAGAGGCATTCATTCTCTCGGTCTATGCTATGGTCTAGACCTCCCCTTAAGCGTCCCGATGCCGTGAAATGGTGGAGCCTACTTCAAGGCTGAAGGAGACATGCATGCACGTGCCCACGTGAGCAGACGCATGAGGAGTGCAATAGGCTGACAAAGGAGCATGTCCTCCCACTGTAGTTCAATGGTCGGCAACAGACCGCTTCTCAGGATGGGTGTGATCTTTCTCAATTGCATCATGATGGGCGTGCAGGCGCGACGATGGGGTTAGAGTGGCTGCACCCAGCTTGTTTTCGAACATTCGACGTGCACAGCCCCGAGTCCATGAATTTGAATGTTGCTTTATTGAACGATCACACTGTTTCAACAAGGAAACAGCAGCTGATAGCAGCTGCGTTGAGAGCCACTGCTTTCACTTGCCATGCTCCGAACCAGTGCGAGTGCAGGAAGACTTCCCCGATTGGAGTGGCTGGGGCTACTGTGAGAACATCTTCCTGGGCCAGAGGCCTAGAGGAGCTGGAATTGTGCAAGTCGCGCCTCCCTGCTTGGCGGCCCAGGTATTTTCGTCTTTGAGCTGGCCATCCGATTGGCCCACTTCGGCTGGGCCTTTTTCTGCAACGATTCGATGCTTGGCTGCAGTTGTAGGGCATCTCGTGGGCGCGGGCAAAAGTGCTCATGCTCATGTTCTTCTCTCACTGCCATGAGGCATAGAGGTCATTCAGATAAGCATTTCCAAGCGCCATCGACCCTGACATTTTGCCACACTTGATACCATGTGCATTTGGGGATTGGTGCTTCATTCGTTTCCGCCATTTTTCTTGAAGGACATACCTGGCCTGTTATTTGTCTCACGAGTTTGAAGCTGGCGTCCAAGGGCCTTACCAGAACATTTCACTGCAAATGTCCCTGAGCCCAGGTGGATCTTCAATTGGCTTGATTTCGCTGGGGGCTCAGCCAACTACGTTTCTAGCTTGAGGACCATTTGGCCGAATGATGGGTTTCCCATGGGATGCGGAGTGTTTGCGGTTCAGGATTGATCATATTTCCGTTGCGACAAGCCCAGGTCCTGCAAACACAAAAGCCGCCAAGGGTTATGATTGATTCCCAAATCTTTGCACCTAATCAGCACCACGGGGAACCGGTTGTTGAGCTGCGCATGTGCGCAAAAAAGCGTCCGCACTCAGATCATTGTGGTGGGCGGCGGCTTGGCTGAAGCATGCCGAAGCTCAAGTTGCGGCTTTCTGGTTCCAGTGTGATCTACAGGTCGCACATTGCCATGGCAAAAGAACTTGCTATGGCCATGACATGGGGAAGACCCTCCAAAATGGTTCGGACATGAGTCCACATGCAAATGATGTCCAACGAAGGGTTCCCTCCAGAAACACAAAAAGAACCACTATCGCATATCATTGCCAACCGAGTGTATACCCCGGAGCCTTGTCAGAGGTATTTGGCGCTTTTGCACTCAAGGGGAGTACCAACAGGGCCCGGCACGTCAGCGTCAATACAGATGCTGCTTGTTTTTTCCGGCATATTGTCAGGTGTGGCATGCGGACATGTGCATGCGCGTTTTTGAAACCGTGCACTGGTTCCAGCGTTTGGGCGGCCAGCCCTCCAGCGAACTCGCATTTACCTCATGGCTTTGTTGGCTGTTAATGCTGGGCACTTTCCTCACGACCCATCAGATTCCTGAAGGCCTGCCGTCGAGTGGCCCTGGCTCCTTGTTCGTTTCATCCCTGCGGCTTTCTCCCACTTTGGAGGGCAAGCCAATCGATTGAACACTAAACACCCAGCCGCCTTTGTGCAGCATGGAGCCCACGGTTTCAGTTTCCAGGCGTTGCTGACGAGTGGATTATCCCCATCTACAACTTCCTGGCATCGAACGTCGGGGCTGCAGAGCAGGAAACAACTCTCGGCACTTCGGCTCAAGATTGAACCAGGCTGTTATGTGGGGGGTAGTTCTTAAGGGCCTTCCAGCTCAGGGGTTTGTTTGGGGGACTTGGCATTCCCCCTGCCTCGTGCTTTGAATTTCAACTTCCTGCCCCCCGATGTGTGTGTGTGTGTGTGCGTGTGTGCGCTTGTTTGCTATGTATTCAGAACGGGCTTGCCGCCCCCAGCCCTTGAACAACTACAGGGTTTCGCTCTATATGAGCCTGAAGCGTGCACGCGCTGCACAGGAACTGTCATGAATATGTTGCGGCAGCTTGGTGGCAAGCATCGGGGTTTTCGGCTGCACCCGTGCGGCGCTAGTCATGAATACGCATGTAGGGGACACTAGGTGAACGATGATTCTGTTGTTCTTCGGTTGTGGCGGGTTTGCCGTGCAGCAACACGGCACGGCAGGCCATACAACACAATCCAGATCTTTCTACATGTGAGTCTTCGCAAGGACACTCCACACAGCCAACATGTGGGAAGCAGGAAGTGGGAAGGGCTTCGCGTGAATAGCGTGTGCTTTTTGTTGTTGTTTGCAACAGCTTGGGATTGACACGCTCCAGTGTGAGACCTTGTGCCTGAACCTTGCACTACCAAAGTGCGGTGCTTCTTACCAGCGAGCCGTTGAGCTTGATTCCATGTCGCCCAACAGGTTTGATGACAACTTCTGGGATTGACCTGTTGTATTCAGCTTCCGCGCCCAGGGTAATGCGGCTGGCCGCATGGCTGCACAGATTGCACTCTCACCAGTGCGTCGTTCAACCATCCAGTTGCGCCCTGGTGCTCTTGTTGCCTTATTTTTGTCAGTAAAGTCATGTCTACATCAAATTGCTAACTTCCCAAGAGGCCCTTTTTGTCTCCTCGTGGTCAAGCACTGGGCAATTCCAACCGCGGCAGACAGGTTGAACGAGATGAGGCCAAGTTTATATGGGATGTATGTTTTCTAGTTGGGAGATGTTGGGAGCAGGATTCCCCAAGGTACCGAGTTTGAGGTGTTGGGTTCGGTCCTGGCATGTGATTTGTGCAACGGTGCCTGTTGACGTGGCTTGCTTGTTTGCTTCCTTTTTCTGGGATTCGAGCGGCGGGCGTGCGCAGGTACGGCTGCTGCGGTTGATCCGATTGGCGGCTCGCTTGTGTTGGAGCACGTGCAGTGTTTTTTTGTGTTTCTCCTTTTTCTTCTCAGCCTTCAGTCAACACTTGTTTTTGCACAACGTGAGCCCAAAATCTGAGTTCTTTGACCTGCGCTGAGTGAGCCTATGCACTTCCCGACGTTTCAAGTTGATAACCCCCCCAAAAGAAGATAGATAGACATTTGGCAGGGTGTTTCATGATGTATGGATAAGCCCAGGCTTCCTGTTACTTACAGACACACAAACAAGCAAACAAACAAAGAAAATACAGAAACAAGCAAGCAAGCAAGCAAGCGAACAAACAAACCAACAAACCAACAACCAAACACACAAACACAAACAAACAAACAAACAAACAAAAAAACAAACAAACAAACAAACAAACAAACAAGAGCACAAGCACACAAGCAAGCATGCACGAAAGCAAACGAACAACCACGCAAACAAGCAAGCAATGAATCAAGCAAACAAACAACCACGGAAAAGCACAACACGCGGAAACAACCACAAACAACCGACCAGCCAAACAAACAACAACCAAGCAAACAAGCAAGCAAACAAACAAACAAGCAAAGAGGCAAATAAACAAAGAAGCACACGCACACACATAATCGCAAAAACAAATAAACAAGCAAACGCACAACCAACAAACAACCAATGCAAACACATAAACATACAAAACACAATCACAACCGCATTCAACCACACACACGCACAAACACACACACACAGACACACAGACACACAGACACACACAGACACACAGACACACAGACACACAGACACACAGACACACAGACACACAAGCACACACACAGACACACAGACACACAGACACACAGACACACAGACACACAGACACACAGACACACAGACACACAGACACACAGACACACAGACACACAGACACACAGCCACACAGCCACACAGGCACACAGACACAGACACACAGACACACAGGCACACAGACACACAGACACACAGACACGCAGACACACAGACACACAGACACACAGACACGCTGACACGCTGACACACACACTGACACACACACACACATGACACACACTGACACACACACTGACACACACGCACACACACACGCACACACACGCACACACTGACACACACACACAGACTGACAACGCTGACACACACACACACTGACACACACTGACACACACGCACACTCACACACACACACACACACACACTTACACACACTTACGCATACACACACACTTACACACACACACACTTACACACACACACACTTACACACACTTACACACACTTACACACACACACACTTGCACACACTTGCACACACTTGCACACACTTACACAACACACGCACACACACACTTACACACAGACACGCTGACACACACACACGCACACACACACACACACACACTTACACACACTTACACACACACACACTTACACACACTTTCACACACTTACACACACACACACACTACACACACACCACACACACACACTCACACACACACACAGACACAGAAATACACATTGCGGAGCTGCCGTTCTGCAATCTTTTGCCAGTGGAGCTGGCGCTAATGTGGCAGGCTTGGTGCAGCAAGGCACTGTTTCGCACCGCGAGTTTGCATTGCAGCCAGCCAGTTTTGCTCGGGAATGGCGGGATCCAAGGTCCGCAGTGTGCCCCCTTTGTACAACCTGCTCAAGGGCATCCTGGAGGCTATGCAGGGCATGCTGTGGCTCCTGATTTTGACTGTCGCGGCGCCTTGGCTTTGACACCGCATACCATTTGTGTCAAGATGTTGTTGGCACAGAGGGGGAAATACGCAGGGGAAGGGTTGGGGGTACCTACTCCAGAATGCATGGTGGAGCCCGTCCTCCGTGGAGCTTGAAGATGGCCTGTTGTAGGCCTGCTTTGTTCACAATTTCAATTTTGCCCCATAAAAACCAACAAGGCAAACAAGCAAAGACAACTAGCCAGTAGCCAGCTTCAAGCAACCAGCTGCGGTTAGACACAGCATGCCACACTGCGAAATCAATCCTGTGCGGGATCCACGTACAGCTGGCCAGAAGACACCTGTCCCCAGGTGATATACATCATTGCCTTGGTTGCCATGAAGCTCTGGGGAAGGGACTCTCTGGCACGCAAATTTTCGTTGTGCGCTGTCCGGGCTGAGGATGCAATTGGATTAGCAATTCGAAAGCAAGCAAAGCCGCCGTTGTTTGGGTTTGAACAGCAACTGAAGGGGTCTGAAAATTGCAAGTTTTCGGCCATTGCATATTGTGGATTGACGAAATCCTGCACCGCTTTGAAACCATGAGAAACCATTGTTTGTTGGCATTTAGGGAATCTTCATGTCAGGGTTTCTTAGGTGGTGCAGGATTTCGTTCATCCACTGTATTGCCAAGTCAGATCATTGCAGGAAGGCCTTCTGACCGCTGATGCGCCGACGGACGTCCGGGAAGTGTTCCCGTCTGTCGGCAACCAGTCTTGCATTGGGGTGGACTCCTGGCACTTTTGTATAGAAGCCCGCCAGTGACCATCTTCAGGCGTCAAGCAGATATAAATCAGAGCATGCAATCGAAGGAAACATGCAATAAATTTGTTCCTACCGCGATTGTGTTGGAAAGCCCTGCTTCGTGGTGAAGGTTCTGGGAAAAGGCACCGCCTTAGAGAGTCATCGTGGCCTATTGGATGATTGATTGAGTGGGCAGGGGGAGCACGAGGGAATCCCATGGAATCAAAATGGGTAGGATTTAGTCACAGGTCTCCCAACCAAGCTTTCTGAGATGTTGGTATTCCGTGTTCGCGGTGGACTTTCGAATGGTGTTGCTCAAAGTGTTCAATCGATGTTTCCTTTCGATATTCCCTTCATACAACGTCGAAGCATGAGGGTGTCAATGCGTGGGCGCCATTAGTTGCATTGCCCACATAACTGAAGGCTATAGGATTCTCACTTTTCACAACTTAACCTTAGCGGGCGAGGTTGTCAACTTGCAGTCCAGGGTGGCTGGGGGTGGCTGGGGGTGACGCTGTTTGGGGCTGGTGGTGCTGCTGGGTAGTGCTGCAAGTGCGGGTTTTGGTGCTGGCAATTCCCCGATGCTGGTGCATGTGGTGCATGGTGTTAGCGCGTGGACTCCTGGCCTAAACCCGCGAGTGGAGGGGCTGGTGTGGCTAGATAGAGTCAATGTGTGCAATATGTTTTCGGATTATAGCACGCTTTCAGACGCAGCATTTGCTTCATTCGTTTGGCTCAAGACACCTGGCATCGGCACCGAAGCCCTTCAAGGAGACAGCCCCTCGCCTTCAATTGGTTCAGGCATGGGGTGGCTATGGTGGCATTGGTGGCATTATGGTGGCGCTGTTTTTTTCAGCTCTGGTCAGAAACTATGCTTTTTGAGCTGCTCCGGTGTTCAAGTGGGGTGACGAATTCCACTTCTAAGTGCCCAACAATTCTACCTCGCAATTTGGAGCTCCTTGCCCTGGATTGAGAGCGAGTTGTTTGGGGGGCCAGGTGCAGTTTGCACCCTGGGTCGCAGATATGTTCAAACTAATTGATGTCCAGTGCCCCGTTGCACTCCCAATAGGCCAGGCCATTTGAGGAACAACTTTGCAACTGTGCTTGATTGGCACTCGTAGCTGCTTGGAGCGGTATGAGTATTGGTAGGTTGTCAGGTCCATGGCCCTTGTGCGCAACAAGCTATGAGCTCATGTATATGTAGGGGCTTGTGGGACTTCACCCCACGCGGATGAGTGTTTTTCAAGGTGATTCGGCATGTCCCAGCCTTTGCATCTCGTGAAGGCTGAATGGTGTGCTCCTTGTGACATTCGCAGGCGTCAGGTCTGGAACTACGTGGTTATGCGGTTTGGTTTCCGATGTTCTTCTCTTGTGCCAAGTCTTCCACGGCCTTGGAGTTAGCGCGTAGCCTCACCAGTGGAAGCGCTGGCATGGAACGGAGGCTGGGCCATGGCGGAAGGTAACGAGGCCGCGCCCATCGCGGAAGGTTCCAAGGCCGCGCTGACGCCTGAGCAGCCTGGCAAGTCGCAAATCGGGGCCTTTGAGAGTTTGGTGTACTCTCTTGCTTGACTCAGTCTCATTCTCAGGTAGGAACTGTAGCATGGGTGTTTTTCGATGCCAACCATATGGCTAGTTTCGTTGTGCCAGCCTTCACAGCCTTGAGAACGCCTGTCTGGAAGGGGGCATGTGGCCGCGCGGCATTCAGGCAAGCCGAAGAGCTGGTGAAGTATGACCTCTCCCTGAGGCTGGGCGTTCCTGCCCAAGTCGCCGAAGTGTCGAGCATTTTTCTTGAGTGCGGGGGGGGGGGGGAGGTTCTTCTTGACTAGGTGCCAGGAGGTCTGAATTCAGAAGGCCGAATTGAAGCTGATTGCATCATTGCATGAAGGTGCATGTCAATGCAAGTTTGTGTATTGCGCGGCAGGCCTTAAACAGGATGATAATTGCCACCGTACCTGTACTGAACCATGGCCACAACAAGACCGCACTACTGAATTCCCAAGCATGAAAGATGACACGCAAACAAGACAGATTGCAAGAGACGCGCCTTTGCAGGATGGTGCCCTTCTTGGACAGACACCTGATCTTTCCAATCTTCAACTTTCTTCAGGAGCATGGAGGGGGGGCGCTTGTTTTCCTGGCCTTCGCAGGAGACGCAGGAAGCTAGAGTAAGGCGCAAGCCTTCCAGCAGCAAGTCATGGACACCGTTGTTGCTACTTCCTGTGGTGTTTGGGACAAGGCCTCGCGTGTCAGACAGGAGACAGCTCTCTACAACCAAGTGGCCCTCCAGAAGGCTCAGCTCACGCTTCTGGCAGAGACGACGCTTCAGCTCAGAGGGCTGGGGATGGCCTTTGAGAGCCATGCGTTCAATGTTCATTTGTGGCATGGGTGAATGGCTGTGCTGAGCATCCCGTGTGACAGGCCACCACAAGCGCCTTTCATTGATGCATGGTTTGAGGTGGCATAATGTGGCATAGACCATGCAGGGCAATTCCGATGCTCCCGGAGCACGGACTTGTGGATTTGAACTTTTCACTTTTACTTGGCTTGGAGTTGTGGAACATCAACCTGGATCAAATACCGGCATCCAGGCCCCAAACTATCCAATCATGATCCGGAAAGCCGACGGTTGGCACTGCCATCAGAGTTTCCACCGCAGCTTTGTGCGAGTTCCTGCTCCACATGGGTACTTCATGGTGCTTCCATTCTGGAGTGCGGACAAAGCCAAGGAAGATGTCCCCTTAGACCCTAGGGTGCCCTGTCCCGGCCGAATCCCAGGAACATGATCGATTGGGCGTTGGAGACCTACACTCTCATCGGCGAGCAGCAGCCCGAGGAGCTTCAGAAGAGGCGATTCCTGGGCGCGACGGGTTGGTCAAGTGCAGGTTTCATGTCTGAGTTCCCGGGAGATCGTTGGTGGTTTGGCTTTTGGTTGCCAATCAGGAATTGAAGCAAGCTGTTGAACTTCTGTACGGCAATCACAATCGTACGTATTGCAGTACATGTATAAGTTATCCTGTTTGCATATGCGTATGTGTATTTGCCTAGTTAAAAGTGCACGCATTTGATTGTTGGATTCATAGATCTTTGGCGCGCCAAATATGGTGGTTCTGCAACAGCCGTTGCAAGATTGGCACAGCCGTGTTTGTGCCTAGCGGGTGCAGTGACCTCAAAATTCAGACTTCCTGCCTGAGACACACTCAGCTTTGGAGTGAGTCATTGAAGGCTGTTGGAAAGCCAGCTTTGTCGAATCCGCATGGGAATGGCGACCGGCGTGTTTGTTTAGGAGGGAAGCCAACAAAATGTGCGCCCTTCCCCGAGATGTTCCTTCAAAACTGCACTGGAACGGGTACACAAACAAGAGTTTTCCCGGAACCTTCGTGTCGTGAGTGCGCCCTCGAAGGCGAGACGTGGTGCTTCAGCAGCTTGAGGACTCCAGAGAGAAGGCAGCGCTCTTTGGGGCAAAGCATCCTTTTCGCTCTAAATTGGCTCGTGGGATGGCCCAAAATGTTCAAAATGTGCACCGCCCCTCGGGAACCGCCGAGCTTGGCGGGTGACGCCCTGCATCTCCTTCCGTTTGGCCCGCCACTGGGCCAGGGTTGTAGGTACCCGGGGTGGTGTACCTAGGCCATAGGCGGGTGCTGTCCGCGAAGATACTCACTGGCCTTCGGGACACCCTGTAGAGGCCAGTGTTACATCTATTTGCGGCTGGGAACCCACCAGATTGCCCCAGCCCCAATGGGCACCATGGAATGTTCCTGCATGGATGATTATCTCAGCACAGGACCCCAACCTTCTGAGCGGCAACCGCACATGTGAGCCACGCACACTGGCCACTGTCCAGGGATTTGTCGCGGCAGACGTCGTAGTGTGCACCCACAGCGCTGGGGAATTCTCAGGGCTGTTTAAGTTCGTGAGCAGCGCGCCGTGTTTGTCCGAGCCACGCCGCAGGTTCTTCCCCTACTGCAGATTTTGGAGGACGCGGGTTTGATGTATTCACTGCTTTGCGCACATGTGCTCAGAGGCTTGCAAGGCCGTGGCTGTTATTTCCATGGAACCTGCCATGCCTGGACGGACTGGCCCAGGATTTGTCAAGAACTGCATGAGGTCAAATAGGCATGGTTCCAGACAGACATCCACGTCGGATTTGGGGCAGGTTTGCTGTGGATTGGATTGGATTTGGTTTGCGTGCCGTCCACTTGATGTTCAACTAGCATGGTGTCGGTCAAACCCGGCAATCGTTAGACAGCTGTGTTGTTGTGGTTGGCTTGTTCTTCTTGCATTCAACTTACCGAAGTGGTACTCGTAGTGCACGCAACATTTGTCTATTTGCAACCAAGTCTTCGAGACAGTAATTATTCTTAGTTGGCATACATCAATCGGAGATATTATCGAATCCCTGCCTGGTTATTGAGGCATTTCACAGGGGTCTGATTTTGAAGCACCGAGGGGTGCAGCCGCGGTCTTCTTTGGGCCTTGCTCGGCACTTCGCATAGCCTTTGGCGTAGGAAGAGGAGAAGGTGCAGCGCGTCGCTGCGTGCAAGAGCATTGACGAGCTGTGCCAAACCTTCGACCTGGATTCCACAGTGATTGATGGAGCGGGGGACGGGGGTCAGTGGACGCCAGCGGGGCGCATAGCGTTTCAGCACGCGGCTACAATTCAAACTAGTTGGTGGCTTCAGATAGTCGTAGCACGCAAAGCTATTTTAAATTGAGGGTCCAGGAAAAACTATCATTTTCAGGTACCCGCAGGGAGTTTCACCTTCATAAGCCTCGTGTAAGAGCCTTACCGGAGTTCTGGGTGCCTGGAAAGATGCATCTAAGAGGCCGGCAAGTCAGTGGGGGCAACCTGGAAATGTCTTGGAAAACATGGTGTCCTTCCCTGCCAGTTTCTTCTACCATTCGGCCTCACATGCCGCATTCGCTTGCGCAGGACTGGTCCACTACGCCAAGTTGCAGTACGACTGCGGGAACTACACCCTCAGCGGGGAGCTCCTAAAGCACTACAGGAGCATGATCTCCCAGGAGCGCCATTTTTCCCGTGGCATGGCCGTCCTGTGCGAGGGTGGGGGCTGGAAGCAGTGCGAGACATGTGGGTGGATGTGCAGTACGTGGGTAGCAAGGAGGGAAGCCGCTAGCCCATCCTGCATTTCATGAGGCCAATCAGTTTGAGGATGGCATACAGTATTGTTGTTGGTTGGGACTCGGACTTGAAACCCTTCCAGAAACGAGACTCAAATTGGCTGCAAGTGCCCATGGGCAAAGGTTAAATTGTTCTGGGCCCTGATCCGAACACTTGATTTAACCCCCTTTTCCCACTGCCATGGCTTTCTTGCATTCTTCTCAAGTCCCAGCATTCTTTGCACACAAGTTTTCCCCAGTGTTGTTTTTTAAATACCCACCAGGTTTGGCAGGCAGCCGCTCCCCGCTGGCAGGACACTGAGCGGCCGGTGATGACCTCGAAGCAGGCGGCATTTAGCCAAACCAAGACCAGTTTGCATGGCCAGCCTAGTAATTCAGTTTCTTTGCTTTTTATACCAGGGTTGCTGGGCAAGCCGGCCTATTTGTTGCGGCAGTGTGACATAGGGACGTCCACTGTTTGGCACAGACCCCACGTATGCACGCCCCAAGTAGGCTATGCTGGCCTCAACTTTTCGGCTCGCCCCTGCCAGGTCAGCTGCACTTGGGGCTCCTTGGCCTCCTTCATTCTGAACAGGGAGTTTGAGGAGGCCCGACACGTTCATGGAGCGGCCGCGGGGCCAGTCACACGGCAGTATGCTCCAGCGAGCGAGGCTGAATCTGCATAAGTTTCAAGGACCACCCTCCCCATGTGGATGGCGTGGATCTACAAGCACCATGCGATACTCTCACCAAAAGCCTTAGGCATGTTCACAGGACATTGGTGCGGAGACGCACACCTCGCACTTGCGGCACTACCGCTGACCCGCAGGCCACAGATGGAGCTGAGCGCGCAGCGGATGTGATCTTTAAGATCAACGACTTCCTGGACACTACGCCGCCTGGCAATAGAAGGTCGGTTTGCTTGGAGTTTTGCGGTTTCATTGTGTTTAGGAAACGTATTATGTTACAGCGTTTGCGTGCACAGCCCCTTGGCTTTAAGCAACTGAGCAAACATCGGCACCGTTGACATGTTGACCAGCTGGACTACCCTGGCACTTGGGAGAAAATGCGGCTATTTGCTGATAGGTAATTGGAGAAAGACGATGCTGGCGCAAGTTGAATTCTACCAATTTACCAATGCCATTCATGTTCCAAGAGGACACCCAGATAGCGAAACCATCCCGATCCCGGGCATCTAACCTGGATTTTGCTGACTTGGCTTCTTCGGGCCCTGCAAGCCCCTTGTGAGTACCCATGGGCAGAGGCTCAGTGACTTGTGCTTGATGCATCGGTCCGAGTGGTTTGCGTTGAGTCGCTTTGAAGCAACCGCACTTTGGCACCTTTTGGATACGGGAGAGCGAGAGAGAGAGAGGCTTTGGCTTCCGGACGGCCGTGTTATTTCAGGTTATTGATTGTCTTCATCTATGTATGCATACTAACTATAATATGTCAGGTTTGTGACTTGTTTGCATCAAGAAAGAGTTTGTTTCAATTGTTTGTTGTGCAACTATAGCTTGCTTTCTTCCGCAGGGTTAGCGGCTTGGTTGAATGTTCAGCCCGTTCGAACAGAGACCATCAACAACACAAACGCCCAGGGAGAGTCACGCGGCAATTCGCTGCTTGTCGTTTCCCGTTGTTTTGGGATGCATGTCCTTGCGTCGTCCGCTTCTTCCATGTTCATCAATCATTAACTTGGTTGCGTTGTCCTTGGGTCGTACGTGTCGAAGTAGATCAAAAGGTAGCCCTTGTTCTCCGCCTGAAATACCTCAGCGCTTGAACGGCAGTTGGGCTGTGCCTAATTTCAATCAAACATCAAGCTTGCAATGGCGGACCGACCACGGCCAAGGAAGATGTCCAAGAAGGAGGTCCTGTTGCAGCGAACATGGCTGCTGCATTGGTCACTCTTCCCAATCTTCACTGCACCCCGGCGGATGGAGTTGGCCAATTGTTGTTTGTCATCCCGTTGTGCGTGTGTGTTTGTGTGGGTGCATGCGTGCGTGCGTGCGCGGGTGGGTGTGTGTGTGTGTGTTTGTTTTGTGTGCGCTTGTCGCTTTTGTCAATCTTTGCCTGGCTGTTTGTTTGTTTGTTTGTTTGTTTGTTTGTTTGTTTGTTTGTTTGTTTGTCTGTTGATTTGTTTGTTTGTTATGTTTGTTTGTTTGTTTGTTTGTTTGTTTTGTTTGCCCGTTTGTCTGTCTGTCTGGCTGGCTGGCTGTTTGTTTGTTTATTTGTTTGTTTGTGTCTGTTTGTTTGTCTTGTTTTTTTGGTATGTTTGTCTGTCTGCTTGTTTGAATGATTGTTTGTTTGTCTGTTTGTTTGCTTGTCTGTGCGTTTGTTTGTTTGTCTGTGTGTTTGTTTGTCTGTCTGTCTCTGTTTGTCTCTGTTTGTCTCTGTCTGCCTCTGTTTGTCTCTGTCTGTCTCCGTTTGTCTCTGTCTGTCTCTGTCCGTCCGTGTCCGTTTGCATGTCTCTGTGTCTTTGTGTCGCTGTGTCACTGTGTCTCTGCGTGTGGCTGTCTGCCTGCCTGCCTGCCCGTCTGTCTGTCTGGCTGTCTGTCTGTCTGTCTGTCTGTTGGTTTGTTTGTTTGTGTCTGTTTGTCTGTCTTGTTTTTCGGTCTTTTTGTCTGTCTGGTTGTTTGAATGATTGTCTGTCTGTCTGTCTGTCTCTGTCTCTGTCTGTCTCTGTCTGTGTCTGTCTATGTCTGTCTGTGTCTGTTTGTGTCTGTCTGTGTCAGTCTGTGTCTGTCTGTGTCTGTCTGTGTCTGTCTGTCTCTCTCTCTTTCTTTGTCTCTCTTTCTCTCTGTCTGTTTGCCTGCTTGCTTGATTGCCTGCCACCATGGCCAGATAGAGAATTGGGGTCAGAGAGGTGGAGACCAATGTAAAAGTATTGGGCAAGGTTGGCAGGCAATACTGCCCTGTACATGCACAACCTGTGATTTCCAGGCAGGTAAGTTCAAACCGTTCCAACACGTTGTCTTGCCTCAAGATTCTCTCCCTAATGACAGCGACATGAAACCCTTGATTTTGAGTGGCTGAGATTGCTATAGTCACTTTTGCTGCAGTGCATCTTCGCAAGGTTCAAGGCGGAATCTCATTTGTCCATTCTAAGTTTTTGCTCCACTCATTTTTGAGCTTCTTGGCACAAGCGAATGTATTTTGCTTGGTGGGTTCAACCATCACCCAAGCCAACGTTGGTTGAATTTTTCTTGGCGACGTTAGCGGCCAAAAACGGAGAATCGGCAGGCAGAGAAGGTGGAGGTGAAGCTGCTGGACTTCTTCCTCAATGAGAAGAGCCTGCCGGGCCTCCCATGGGTCATCGGTAGCCGGGGTTACGGGTCCCTTTGCCTGGGCCGTGGTGTTAAAGTGTTTTTTCATTGTTTCGCAAGGGCCCAAGAAAGTTTAACGACTGTTCTGTTCAGTCAGTGAGAAGGTCAGATGGGAGTGCGCGGAAAGAAGAAATGGACCGTGTGAGAGCCGGGTTCAGCATCCCCTAGTTTGAGGGACTACGGAGAATTATGGCGGTGGGAAACACCCTGTTCCCGTGTTTCCGGGTGATTGTACTTCAACGTGCAGATCTATGGCACACCACATTCCACACTCCACACGGTGCACATGACACTCATAATTTTGACTCTCACGCCGAGCACACACTGCTTGCTATAAGGTACCTATTCATACCTGGTAAAAGCAATCTTTGGAGCTCCACTTGTCACGGGAGTGGCTCGCAAATTTTGGCAGCTGCCTGAGGTCGTGCATTTCTCTTTCATGCCCTCACCTCTTCCGGTACGTAGCCTCCTGCCTGATCCTGCAGAAGCGCCTGAAGCACTTGATGAAGGACTGGGAAAGTTGCACGCAGGAGTATCGGCAGCCTTGCCGTGTTGACTTTAAGTTTCCCTCTTGAAGCCTCTTTGACGTGGCTCCTGCGAGTCCTACGGTGACTGCGTTCAAAAGTCGAGGCTGAAAGACCTCAGCCATGGGAGCACTTTGCCGAGAATGTCAAGAGCTCTTAGACTGAGTGGGGTGCTTTTATATTGTGTTGGCGTTTTACCTATTCGGGCAGTTGGCTTTTGTGTGCTTTGCTACATTGATACCACCACCTAGTCGAGGCACAGGCAACACATACCCACTGTCAAAAAAGATGCTGCCTGCGCTCTCCGCCAGTCCCTGCTCACATCAGAAGGGGCACCAACATTTGTTCCCAGGGCCCCTGGCCACATTGCATGCTCAAAGCTTGAGCAGGTATGCATGGTTTGACCATGCAAAGGGACCACGGCACAGGACACTGTGTGGATCATCCAGCACGAATCCACTGCAACTTGGCTATAGCGAAATGTTTGCCTTTCCATCTACACGTTGTAACCTGCAGCTGTCACTCCTATCACCATGTCTGGTTCGGTCAAACCTACGTGTATGGCATCCTGCAAGATCCGTGACTTGTTCTTCTCACCACTGACGCGGGTGGCTTGCGCGCAATCAGGCCTACAGCGACCCGGTGACTAGATTCCTCATGGCGCTTTATGTGGACATGGCTTCCTGCCTGCAACGAGTGGCGCCGATCTGCCGCTTTGTATGCGCGGGCTTGAGGTCTTTGTGCCTGCTTGCGTGTGGCTTGTCCTCGGCGCTTGCGTCAGCTTGCTGAGCTTGGGCCCTTTGCTGTGTTCCACCAAGGACTTTGACGAAGCACAGCATGAGCTTCAACAGTGCGTGGCTTGTCCAGGGCGGTCACCAAAGGGTCTTCAAGGAGCCTTACTTCAACAATCAACTTAGTCAACCATTGCTTTCCGCACGGGTGTACTTTGCGAGCGGCAGATTTCAACACCAGCTATTCACACCTATTCCAAGCAGAGCTTGCAGCACAAATCTGAGCCATCATTCGAGACGCAAACTCTCAGCCTCTCGTCGAAGCCTTCGCACAACTCGATGTTTGTTGCATGGGCTATTGAAACGCATTTTTTAGTTCTTCCCTTCGGTTCTGAAAGGAGTGTGTGGTTTCTCGGGGCGGAGACAGCCTTCATCTTGAGCCCAGTTAAGGAGAAGGTCTGCAAGGTGGATTACTTCCTGGACCGCCATTGGACCGAGTTCCAAGAGAATGCGCGACTCTTGATCTTCGAGACGTACTGCAGGCGACCGCGGATGCCTGAGAGTATGATCTTTATATATATATATGTATACATATATATATATATATTTATTTATACAAATGGATTGACATCAGGATGAACATGTTTTTTATATTCATGAAACTTTCTAACTGTTCCCGTCACAGAACCAGAGGCCTGCTCGACCTTATCTTCCAGGCAAATCAATTGTGAAGCAATGTAATGCATGATGCGGGGCTCCATGGTTCTCCAACGCATTGGCTTAGGGCATTCTACAAGAGAGTCAGTTTTCTTGCAACATTGTGGTCACCGTTCTGCTCGGCATGGGCCCTATCCTTGATGCAGGATTCACCAGTGCATCAACATCGGCATGATTGCTTCCAAGCTCAACATGGGAGCAGAGGCAGGAAAGGGACATGTGAACTCTGCGAACATGGCCGCGTGTCACAGACTTGACACACTGGCTGCCCGAAAATGGTGCTCGCGTTTGCCCTTACGCTTCACAGTCGGTCACGTGGACACAGCACCCACCATGCGCACCTTGAACAGCCGTCCTGTCGGCAAGTGTTTGAACATGCGCCGCTTGCAGTATCACCTTTGCTGCCAGGAAGCCGAAGTTTGGATTGTGCGGACCTTAGTGAAGCTGAGACTTGAAGACATTGGAATTGGCTGATTGTGACGTCTATCAATGTGCATGGCCATAGGCCCTTAGGTTGATCCAGGTGTTGCCTAGTTGAAGGGCTTTTTTTGCTCCCGCAGTGTGGCAGCCAAGTCAATGCTGAGGTTTGCCGTAACCAATGCATAAGGGGTTCGCCTCATTTGAGTAGTTGGGGATAAGGCCACAGCGCCGCGCACCTGGATTCTGAACTTGAAAATTGAAAGGATCACTTCTGCAGGGATCCTGGCGTTCGCCTCAAGGAAGGCATTTTGCCCAGGTGAAGCTGATCCAGAATGCCAAGCTTGATGCCCGCATCGACTCTGAGAAGAGCCGGGTGGTCATGTCGAAAGCACCGCCGAGTGTCTACCAGCAGGCAGGGAGCGCGGGGTCTGACATCCTGGAGCTTCAACATTTGTTTGTTCTGCTTCAAAGATGCAATTGACTGATTGAAATCAAAATGAGGACCCGTCCTGGTACTGTATCTTTGTGTTTTTGTTTTTTTGGTGAAAGCCCTGAAATGGCCGCCCGCTTTCCGATTTCCACAGTACAACAGCCTTAGTGTTGGCTGTGAGACGGTGCGTGCGGCCCCGGCTGCAAGGTGGTACAAGGCATGCCTTCGATCAAGGGTTCGTTTTGAAGGACGTCCTTGAAGGACGTCGGAGGTGACTTTGATTTGCTACAGTTATCTTTGGATTGGAGCATTGAACTCCTCCGATTATTGTTGAGATCGGCATTTGAACTACCGCAGCTTCATGTTTATGCTTTGTTTTTTTGTTGATAGCCTTAGCGCCTGCTTGTGGAACCCAGTGAAACAAAATGATCACAACACTTGAATGGCCAAGGGATGCTGCCGGACAAGTCTGCAGCTAGACGATATTCATAATATCATGTGCGAGTGTCTCAGGCTTCATGTCGCGGAAGACAGCTGGTTTTTTGGAAGGCTCACACTTTGGAGCTGTTTTGTTCTTTCCGGAATGCCTGAGGCGCATTCCTAGGCTTGACAAGATGTGCCTCGTCTTGGTCATGCCAAGTTTCCGAGCTGAACGTAAGGCAAGTGGGGAGCCGCCCAGCATTCGCAGGTCATCGAAAAGACCAAGAACCTCTCTTTCAGAAGTACCATGCTCCTTGCCAATGAACAAGCCAGGGCTTTGCCGAATTGAACTGGAGCGTTGGTGTATTGAATGTCATGTGAAGTACGTGCTGCAATTCCTGTGCGCCTTTGAACCACTGTGAACTAAAAAATGGTTGAAGCCCACCCTGCATTTTTTTGCCCTGCAGCCGATGACATCATGGGCTGTGTGCATGGATGCATGCGTGTGTGTGTGAGAGAGAGAGCGAGTGGGTGTGTGCCTACCTGCCTGCATTCCTGCATGCCCGCCTGCATGCGTGTGTGCATGCATGTGTTTGTGTTTGTGCTTTGAGGCGAATACTTGTTGCCCACGCCTAGCGTGAACCATTGTCGCCATGCCGAATGGGGATTGTTGGCTTCCGTTGAATGGGTTTTCCTTGGCATGAGTTTGTATCAAGAAAAGGACATACTTCCCGGGACATCCGGCATGCTAGTTGCAGCTTGGCAAACCAGTGAACCTTTTGAATTTTATGTGCATTCCGGATGTTCAGCGTGTACAAGCTGCTGGCAATCTGGTGGTCACGTGTGTTTGACAAGCACTTAGGCTTTTGTCCAACCTGGAAAAGCGCGAGAAGGACTTGGCTGCTGGAGCAGGCACACTGAATGGACTGCCCCCTGGGTACCCCCACATATATATATATACACGCTTATGCAGGGTCACCATTTGTGGTATTTACTCGTGGTCAGTTTGCCTGCCCACATAGTGTCACCTGTGTCTACCCGAGTTTGATTGCAGCTGTCAGTTGCGGCCACTGTGTCCAGTCCTTTCCAGGCAACAGGTGACAAGCTGTATTCCGTAATGTTGGAACTTGATTAATAAAGGCCCCCCCCTCCCACCCTCAAACAATGGAGGCACTAGAATTCAGTAGGCTCACTTTTGGGACGTCCAAAGAATGGAGGATTTTGGGGCCCAATTCTACTTTAGTATTGCAACCACTTCTTCCTGAGCAGACTTTTTGGAATACTACTTTAGTATTGCGACCACGTCTTCCTGAGCAGACTTTTTGGAATACTACTTTAGTATCGCAACCACTTCCCTTTCAGTTCTTTCTGTAGCCATTCAAAGGGGAATGCTTTTAATCAAGCAAGTGGGCCACCCATTGAAAGGGGAATGCTTCTAGGTAAGTGGGCCACCAATGAAAATGAGAGTGGAGTAAAGCAAGTGACAGTTTATTTTCTGGAGGGGGGCTTGCAACTAATGTGGTCCCCCTAAACAATGCCATTGTTGTGGTTCAGTGGGGTCTGTGAGGGGTACCCTTGTCCTGATTTTTTTTTTCAGTTTAAACACGTTTAATAAGGAATTTGCAGTTTCAGGGCTGGGGATGGTTTTCACATTTCAGAGGTTTCAGCTGGCTTTGGGTTTTTTGTGTGTTGTTATCATTTGGGTGATTGTTTGAGGGGGGATGTTTTGTTTTTTTTAATTAAAACTGATTTGTGGATATGTTTTTGGATGGTTCCCCCCGGGCAAAAATAACTTTCTATTATTCTGGTCCCCATCAACAATGGGGGCGAACCACAAGAAGGAAAAACGAATGCATTAGTGACTATCCCAGTACTAATTGGGTGCCAACATTACTTGTCGCAGTTTTTGCTTGTTTTTTTTGGTTGGCATCGCCAACATGAAATTGCCGAAGGAGATCCGCAGCAACGCGCCGCCGTGAGGGGCCCCGGCAGGTAGCGCAGAATTGTGGCGGGGTCTTGAAACCGCGACTTCCATGAGCTTGCTGACTGAACCTCATGTAGCGTAGCATTTCGGACAAACACACGATATATATATGGCCATGGGTCAAAATCCCGTACCCCAGGTGAACATCTCAATCCCTCCACAGCCATATTATAGATCGTTGCCAAACAGTTGAAGGGCAAGGCCAGCCAGCTGTCGGTCACGGCTTCCTCGGGCTGCGGCCCGAGAGAAAGGAGCCCAGGTTATTCCCGCTTTGGGGAGTCAAGTGCTTGCCGTGGAGCCCAAAGACATTGAAGTGACAGCGAAAGTGATAGCAAGCACGGGGCAAGATGTGGGCAAACCTTTGGAGCCCAGAGGGCTTCACCCGGTGACTCTCGGGGCTTTGGCGTGAACTAAGCCCTCGCAGTCCCATTTCGCCTTTCGGCGATTGCCCGGGGGGAATGCGAGGCGCCGGCCGGCCCGGGTTTTGCAAGAGTCGCCCAGCTGCCCCAGTCCCACAGGAAGCGGGGCTCAGGGCGGAACCATAGTTGAGCGAAGGGCTTTTGTTTATGAGACTAGCAAGTTCAGAATATACACACACGCACGTGTGACGTATACAGTGCATACATTGACATGTTGACATTGCTCGGGTTCTGGAAGGGAAGTTATGCCGTAGTTGCACGTGGAACGTCACAGAACCTACCACTTTACACTGGGAGCAGCCCATGCCTTCGTTAACAGGATGTGCTAGCGCTGCGGCGACCGTGTGTCGCGAAGGCCATGGTGCATTTTGCAATGCAAAAAGCGCGGCTGGCATCAGGCGTTGTTTCAGGGTTTTGGCAATCCCGTGGTCGGAATCAAGAGCTGTTGTATCATATCCACTCATACTGTGCGATGGTGTGGTTGCGGCAGTGATCATGCTGAAGGATCTTCAGAGGCATTCTATTGCATTCATGTTTCGGCCTGGACATTCACATTGAATGCTGTGTGCTAGACATGCCCAGAAAGCACCCGCAAACCTGACAGCATGTCAGAAGCTGGCTCTGCAAGCGACGCAGGTGTTGTGGAGAGGGCTGGGCAAATATGGCTCGTCGAATCGGCCTTTTTCCTTGGTCACAGGCTGCTCAATTTACATGAATGACAAGGCTCAAAGCAGAATCGAGCGAGTAAATGTTTTTGTCTTCAGAGGGTTCCCATTAGCAGGAGGCCTTTTTCATGATTCCTCTCCGCGTGACTCAGGCAAGACGATGTGGATTCTGTTCATGGCCATGAACGGAGACCCCGGAGACATGCAGCCGCTCTTCGACTTCCACCCCGCCACTTTGGTCTTTGCTGCCGGGGCCCAAGGGGCCCGAGCTCAGACTCCACTGAACATTTGCTGTTCCAAGCCCTTCGCAACTTGGGCCCATTGAACATCGGATCTCCCGCAAGTGATTTTGCCCTACCGAGTCCATGCTCTTTGGATTGAATGTGGTTTGTGTTTTGTTCCGGAGTTTGTGAGCTTGAGCGCATCAGAGAAATACGGGGACGGTTTTGGAGCTGTGGTCCGCTGTCACCTGGGCCTTTCCATCCCCAACCAAAGCATCCGGTGTGCGAGTTCTGGATGCTTAGTTTCAGAACACTTGATCAGAACACTTGAAAGTACAAGCAAAGTATATTCGCGTTCTGGCAACGGTAACTTGAACCTTTGGAAATGGCAGGGACTGCGCAAGCATAGACAACCAGCAAATGTGTTTGCGAGTGGTTGGGTTGCACTTTACTTCACAGCAAAACGTGCGACTCCACTCGAATGCAACAATAGGGACTTTCTTCCCTGACTGTCGACTCGAATCGAAGTCGCTGCTTGCAAGCGTAGCATTCTTTGCACTTTGAGCTCACTACGAGCGCGGCGGTTTGTCAGGCAGCCTACATGGTGTTCACCAGCTTCGCCGGGACCTCAGTGCCTCAAGCGGCTCAAGCATGCAGCAGCGGCAGCTGGCCACAGAAGCCGGTTCTGTTTTGCGCTGTTTTCCTTCTGCCGTTTCCAACTTTGGTCATGAACGGTCCTTGTTCCTTGTCCCTTTTTGTCTGCAGGGGGCCGTCCCTCTTCATACTGCCATGGAATCTGGCACAGACACCGAACCAATCAAGGTCAGCACAAATCCAGTTTCAACCAGCCAGGGTTGGGCTCAAGTTGCAAGACTGGGTTATTGAAAGCTTCAGATGTTTTGCTAAGTGTTTTGACCTGGATAATGATGCTGCACAAATATTGCGCAGCTCTACCCTTGTCTCAAAACTGCACGTTCGGCGAGCCGGGGGCACGGCCGAGACTCGGGACCGCCGAGGCGATTCTTTCCGTGCTCACTGGTGTGGCCAGGAGCTCAGGTTAGCTATGGCTGGAAACCGGGCCATGTTAGGCTGAGATCCTTGTTTGGGTTATGAAGTTATGAGGGCCCACATGCAACCACCCAACTTGCTTGCTTGTGGGTTCCAGATGGTTGCAGCACATCCTTGACTGAAACAAGTCATGCTCAGGTAGTTTTCAGAATAGCGTGGAAGCCTTTTTGCTTGGAACATCTTTTGCTATGCTGCCATGCTTTTGCTGCCGCAACTGTTGGCAACAGACCTGCTTGTTTAGCACTCTTGTCGTTTGCTTGCTTTGCACGAGGTGGCCGACAAGATGGCAACGGCTGCTGAAGAGCATGCGCAGGAAACCCAGGCCCTGGGAGCCTGGGAGCGAGAGGTCCACCTTTAAGCAGCGAAGGGCAGAGGATCTTTGGGTGTTTGTTGTTGGTGCCACTGTGATTGGGAGCTTCTTCGTTTTTGCGGAGCAAGCACGATGCTCCTGAGTTGCATGATGTTTGTTTCCGCAGTCGCACGGTTGACCCTCGCTTGCGTCAACCCCGGCAGCGGAGGCGCTCGAGGAGAAGGCAAAGGATGCTCACGTGAAGAAGTTCCTGTCGAAGACCTTCAACAGTTGCACTGACAACGGTGCCTTGACTGTTAAATGCAAGAAGCAAGAATGCAAAAAGCGCCCCTGCAAACAAATACTGATTTCAGAAGCGGACACATTGTGGAGGAGGCTCCTCAAGGGACTTCTGTTGGGATTCCCATTGCGTGATTGCGTCTTCCTGGGATGCTCGCGGCGTTTGTTTGTGGTTTTGGCTGTGATGCAGGCAATGGAATGACCTGGAAGCAGTACCAGGCAATGGGCGGGTTTGGAGATCGTGATACGTGGCTGGGGCAATCACATTTTTTTCGGACATTACCTGATTGATTGTCGAGCAACACCTACTTTGGAGCTTCACAGCCGGCACTGTCTTCGCACCACTCCCTCAGAGAGCAATTGATAACGATAGATAGTCAGACGTTCATGCTCTGGACTAACCGCACTGTACTGTGCAAAACTTGGGGCCTTCGTTTGGTTCGTTGAAGAGGACCACTTTTTTTCTTAAGGGTTGTGGACCGTACTTTGCGAATAAGATCTGCCGAAAGTCGGGTGGAGGGTGCAGGAGCAAGTATAAATAGAAGCAATTATTGTTTTAAAAATCCACATTTTCCCAATGAATCATGGTCAATCCTGCTTGCAACTTAATAAAACATGGGAAGACAAAGGGAGATGACCTACTTGCGTCAGAATGTGCGTTCAAGAAACCATTTGTGGTCTGCAATAATCCCTGGATTTGCCTTGCTCGGGCAAGGGCTAAATGTAATATGGCCAGACTGCGGTCTAAAGTAGCCGCAGTAAGCCTTCATTAGTTCCTTCGCGTTGAACACGAGCACGTTGTTGGCAAGCAGCAATCCGTTGGAGAAGTCATCAATGGCATGCGACTAGCAGTTATGCTTGCTGACTTGCTTCGGGACTTACTGTTTACACCAGTGGCAAACAAGTGAAACTCCTCAGCAGCTGGCACGTGTCTGATTTTAGAACTTTAAGTTTCCATTGAGATGACTGGCAACAGGCAAGCTGCTTCCAGTGTTGCCGTCGCAGTGGCCAACCACAACAAGGGCCGTGCCAATGTTCCCTTGACTGACAGCCTTTGAATACTGACTGGCTCGTTGAATCGAAACGCTGTGGGCCCAACAAGGTCAGTTGCTCGCCAGGCGATGCTGGCGCAAGAGAGCCTGTTGGAGGTGCGTCGGCAAACTGAGGGAGATCTGCTTCTTTTACTTCTGTTGGCTTGCCTACACAGTGCTCCCCAAATGCTGGCTGAGAGTCTCGATTGTACCAGTGGTGGAATGGAATGCAAACCTTAGATTTGTTGCTTTGCGCGCTTGTTGGAGGATCATTCCTCACGCCACTGTGATCGATTGCTGAAGCTGATAGGATATTTGTGAAGAAGTGGGCATGGACAAGAACGAGCTGGACGACGCTTGGGCACCTCGGTTGGCAACGGGCAGTGGAAGTCAAGTTTGCCAAAATGAAGCAAATACGTCAGTGCATTTGCGATGTTTTGTTGGGACAGGTCCACTGTGACTTCTAAATGTCCAAATTATTCTGCACATAGTTTTGTGGCTTCAGCGTTGCAACTGTGTTGTACCTTGCCGTTCTGCGACGCGCACTGATGATTTGTGTTACTGTTTCCTTGAGTTGCATACAGCCACATACAGCGATACAGCCACATGCAGCCTCTGTTGTTTCGCCTACTTGAAAGCTGCTGTTCAACCGCCTGAGGTCATTGCATTCATTGCAATGACTTCTGTTGAACATCGCAGCGTGTGCCTGACCGAATTGCCATCATGGCCGCCGCATCAGGACCAGCACCAGTACCACTGGCATCAGAGCAGCAGCAGCAGCACCAGCACCATCAGGCTCACCGGCACAACCAGCAAAGCAGCAGCAAACGGCAGCGCAACAGGCACCTGCACCATGCCAGCAGCAACACAGCGATGGCAGCACCAGCACCATCAGGACCACCAGCACGACCAGCAAGCGACTGTAACATTGCGCGGGTCGGACGCGAACCCCAGCATCAGGGGCGCAAGATTCCCACTGTTCACGAGAAGCGGTTTGCACTGGTGCCGTTGGCCGTTTCAAGCTGCCGCGCAAAGCAGAGGGAATGATCATGATACGAGATGCTGCAGGGATTTGTTTGACAGTTGTTTGCCCGGAAGCTCAAGCTTTGACAAGTTTGTCTGAAGCATCAACAGAACCCAGCCAGAGCAGCGCATGGGTTTGGCTCGGGGAGTTCTTTAGCTTTCATATGAAGTACCGTCAAAATTACTTTGTTCAGTTTAGTATTCGGTGTTTCATTGATACTGTGAAAATGCACAACACCGTCGCAAACGATAGGGGACTCTCGAAAGAACGAAAAGGATGGACACGCTGGAAAACGATAGGGGACTCTGAAAGTAGCGAAACGGCTGTAAGCAAGTAGTTTCGACCGTGCCTCATATGGTTTCAAGTCGAATGGGATTGGTTTCTTGGCCTGAGATGTTTTTCGTGTCTAGACGTGTGGTTGGGAGAGAGATTGTGTTTGTTTGCTCATTCTTTATTACCGCTCTTGCCGAGGATGCCTTCCCCAAGGAGATAAAGAAGACGGTGCAAGGGCCTTAGCTTTCGATAAGTTTCTCTGCGTGTTTGCTTGTGATGTTTGAGCGCTTGATTGTGTATGGTTGTGGTTGTGAATGCGCGATGTGTTTGTTGCTATTCTGTCGTTGGAGCTGCAAGCCTTTGGGCCATGCAGCAGAATGCGAATGCTGCTTCTTTGGCTTGCGGCCAGTCGCCCTGTCAAGGGGTGCAGATGCTCTGCCCTGAGGCATGGTCATCCACTGGAAGTGGTGACGGAGGATGACTTTGTGGAGGGCCTGATGAGCGCTCATGCAACTGTGCAGAACCTGTCCATGACACGAGCCTTGGACAAACTCGGCAAGTACACGCTGTCCCGGTTGGGTGGGCTTTGCACACTGTTGAGCAGCCGAGGAGTCTTCGAGAAGCTCAGGCAGATTGAGAAGCGTTTGGACAAGTGATGCAGGTGCCAAACGGTGCCAAGCTTGGCCAACGACGCAAGGAACGCGGCAAGGTTGCCTATTCGACAATCAGAGTGGTTGAGTAACCATCCAGGATGTTTGGCGATCCAGAACATATTCAACATACAATTGACACTCGCAAGGCTGAACCGCGTTTTTGGTTCCAACAACCGGCTTGCTTGGGGCTCTTCGGAGCGACTTTGCCTGCAGATTTCTCCTTAGGCCTTCCCAGCCTGTTTGGTCCCCAAAGCTGCCTGCGAGCAAAGGGCGCACAGGTAGCCTCAGAGAGCTTTGCCCAGAACCTTTCGACATTGCAGCACCCAGCGATCCAGTCTAGAGGTCCGATTCTTGTGGCAGAGCTCCGGGAGAGAGGGAGGGCATGCCTTAATTCACAAGCAATTCCCGTGGGCAGGGCGGCGGATAGAGATAACTCACCTGCCCGGGAGATGCGAAGCTTCTCCCGTGACTTGACGACTTTGCCAAGGCTGATTGTTCTTCGATGGCTCATGTCATGTGCGTGTACGGGTGTGCCCCTGCGATTGTACCCCAGTGTGCTGGACAGCTTCCTTATACTGACAACACAAGGGGTATGATGTGCCTCCTCATGGAAGATGCCTTGGGCTAGGCATCAGGGCAGCATGCCGCGGCTGAACTGAACGTAATGTTGCGCCGCACTCCTTTAGCTCGGCATCGTGCTGTTTTCTCTGACGTTGAGGCCTGCAGCTTGACAGTGCGACAAGCCTTTATTTCAATCCTTCAATTCTTGAAGCAGCAGACTTGGGGAGAGAGCAAACAACAACAACAACAAAAAGCAGCAGAAGCGCTGGTATGTTCCAGGCCTCTGGAATGGGAGGATCTGAGCCTCCGCGGCACGGGGTGCATCCCGCTTAAAGCTGCAGGCGGAGCAGCCTGAGGTCGCAGACCAAAAAGGTCGGCGGCTTCCTCGTGCCTATCCCCTACCCCCCAAACTTCCATTTGGTTAAGAGCATTTTTTGTTTCCCCCTGTTGATTTTAAGAGGAATCTATCACTACTGAACATGTTTTTTTCCAGGGGACTTATGCAAATGGAGGCAAATTAATGTGTGGAGAACGGGGTCCACAGCTGTGCTGGTGGCTGTTCGCATCCCGGATCCCTGATCCGCGGGGGGAGGGAGAGAGGGAGGGAGGGAGGTATAGAGATAGAGAGGGGGTCCAGTCAAGGGGGTTGGGATTGTTTGAAACTGCGTATCCCATTCCCATGGTTTGCATTCTGCTTCACTCGGTTTCCCTTGGTTGCTTTTTAAACTCGCCAATTTTGCAGGCTTCCCAGTTCGGGCAAAGGAACAGCCTAACAATCTTTTCTTACCACCAGCCCACCCTGCAAACACTTCACCCCTTGCCTGACCACTTGTAGGTTTGTTCACTGCATTAAGGTGGAGGCTCATCAACATGGAGTCCATCAAGGCCGCTTGGGCAGTGCATGAGCTGCTGCTCGGCGAAAGTGGTAGGGCTATTTGGGGGAGGCGTCCTTCATTCTCAGCTGCCACTCGGGGCTTCCTGGAAATTGAGCAAGAACATTGCTACCCCAGTGTGGCAACAAGAAATGGAGGTGGTGCTTTGTGAGAGGTCTTCCCTTTTGCACATGACAAACTTGCACTGGTCAGGCATGCCTAGCCTTCCCACCGGCCATTGCCCTCAGCATTTGCTTCAGAGAGCCTGGTGTTTGAACTGTGCCGTGCCGGGGAAGACGGTTCACATGCAGACCATGTTCCACTGGAGCAACGCAAGCTGCCAGTTTGAGAGCCCGTGCCAGCGGATCAAGTTGAGGTCCTTCCATGGTGACGCTGCCTGCACCGTGGGCCTTCCTGTGGCGGAGATTTTATCTGGGGATGCCCCAAAGCGCAGGGCCGAGCTCGGCAAGGCTCGCCCGAGGGACGATCATAGCGGGAGATGTTGGCGAACAACATGTCAAGGCTGGAGCACAGGGTAATCCGGTCCTTCCCCCTCCCCTCCTTAATATCGAGAGATTGCCAGCATAGACGCCCTAGAACGTATTGTCCGCGAGGGAAGTGTGGGAGCACTTAGACTGGCGTTGGCTGTGGCTTGCCAACTTCTTTTACTTTTTTCCAACGTTCACCCCCCCCCCAGCTCAACCTTCCACGAAAAAATAAAGTGCTACATTTTACGCAGAACAAGCAGGGACGAACGAGCAGCCTGCAGCAGCACCTGGCAACAGCACCCTGCTCTGGGTTAAAGAACCCCAGGTCGATTCACTTGGGATTGGGGCCAAGTCCAGCCCAGGCCTTCGACGGCAACGTGGCCAGCGCCTGGGTCTCGGGCTGCGCGCCCTGCCAAGCGCGCAGCGCTTGGCTGGGCCAGCGGTTCCAGGCTGGGACCAAGCAATAGAGACTGAGCCAGATGTGTTTCTCTTGAAAGATTGGAACAAAGTTACGCAACAAGCAGGGCCTTGCATGCAGGGGAGCTCTAGCCTGGCCATCCTCCAGAGGCCCCTTTGAGGGCTGTCCCGCGGCACATGCAGTATAGGGGATCTCTACCTCTTTCGTGCATGAAATAAACATGCTTTGAGGCCCAGAACTTTGAAAAACACTTCTTCAGGCCTTCGCTTCTTTTGGCAAATGTTGCGCTTTTGCATGCCAAGCCGGTCTACTGAGCACCCGGCATCATGTCTCGAGATGTGCCGAGGATATTGCTTGTGTGAAATTCCATTAGCTTGCACGTTCACATTTTGCATCACACACGGTGAATCAGGAAGCTTATTTCACGGCACAGTTGCCTAATTTCGGGGGGCAGCAAATTGTCAAGCCTGTCTTGTCAGCATGCAGCACACACTGACATGGAGGGGTTTGTGCTACTTGCTAATGTTTAGAGGTGTTTTTGTTTTTGTGTTGTAGAATTTGTTGGACGTTGATTTTGAATTGGTGGAAGCGAGCCCTTTGTTTTGGCCTGGGCTGAGTTTGCATCCGCAACGAAGTTGTTTATGCAACCTCACTGCAGGGATACGGGTTGTGGGCTGGCCTGCCGTCCATCGTTCAAAGCGTGCTGAACTGCGCGTCATACTGTATGTGATGCGGGTTGCCTGCCATTGCCGTTAGTCTCTGAAAATGGTGTTGGTCAACCTTGCTTTGGCGTTTTTAGCTTGCATAAACATCATTACCCCCACACCTTTTTGGTCTCTTAGAGGCTTCAAGCTTCACTCTGAAATGAAGTGCTTTTCAGGTGGGCGTGCTGGTGCGCTGTGTGAACCTCAGGCACGCTGAAAGCTTCGCAGCTCGGCAGAGAGGGGTCAGGACGTCCAACAAAAAGACCTTTGTTTGGACTTGCTTTGTTCGACTGTTTTATTGTTCGGTGGGTCCTTCATTCAATTTGGATCCTTCCCCTTAAAAGGGACGAAGGGTGCACATGACTGACCGGCCTTCTGAGCCAGTCTTTAATTCATTTGCGACAGACACCTCAGCAGAGCAAATGTTGCAGCGGGCATTTGCAAGTTTAGTCCTCTTGCCCTTTTTGGAGGACTATCGCCCGCAGTCTCTGGAGCTGGAGCGCTGGGAAGAGGCACGTTGGGCGGGGTGGCATGTTTGGCTCGCTTCTTACAGCCACCCTTCGACGAATGGCCGGCAGAAACGCATCGGGCGAGTGTTCCAGCGACGAGGCTTTGCACGAAATGAAGGAGGACGACACTTATGGCCCAAGACAAGAAGAAGCGAAGAACATAGTCATTACTCGTAATTACGCATGTTGTGTTGGTTGGCCGGTTTTTTGTAGAGCATAATCTCATGTGTTCGAACTTTTCCTCAAGACCCAAGGGCCTTGAATTTACTTTCAATTTGGCCAACATATCCACTCCAAGCCTTACAAGCTACCGAAACTTGAATTGAAAAACCAGCCAATCCTGTCCAAGCTTTCTTCTGTCGGTTTCCTCTTGACCTTGCATCTTAAGGCACTGTGCCTCGCAACCTGAGTGCTTGCCTAGGGCTGGCGTTCTGTGGCACTCTTCAACTCAGTTCTGGGGGGCGCCCTGCAGCTCTCGCCCAACTGGGGTGCGCCCCGGACCCGTGGGGGACCCAGACGTCTGAGCTGTTTTTGTGGGTGGCTTCGGGGGTTTGAAGGTCCCACTCCCATTCACCAATGCGTGTTTCGTATTTCCCTGTTGATTAATCGCTTCACCCCAATTATTAGCAAATCCCGCCCGCCCCACTATAGATAAAACGGTTTTTCGGGGTTTACTTCTAGCGGAGGCATAGGATCAATTCCCCCCAATCCCCCGGAAATCCGGATGTTGGAGTGTCCACCTGGCCCCCTTCGGGTCAATCCAGACCTGGCCAGTCCTCTCCGGTCCTTTCCAGCGTGGAACCTGTTTGTCCAATAGGACTGCAACAGGAAACTAAAAGGACATTGCATGTTTTATTCTGCAAGGCTTGGGGGGCCAGGATAAACTCAGAGAGGGTTTTGCATCATTCGGGGGGGGGAGGGGAGGGGCTAGCCCCTTACGAGCTTGTCAAACCTTGTTTTGGCAAAAATAGTAGAAAGACATTTGCTGCTTCCGGCCAGCCGTTGTTTTCTGGAATTACAACCCTTGACTATGCAAGGAGTCTGCATTGGCAAAAGCATTGTCGATAGCTTTGGCAATTTTACATAATGTTTTGTGTGTTTTTGGATTGGGCCGGAAAGGGACGCCAGAATCACGGGCTGGGATGTGCCAATATGTTATGTTCAGAGGGGTCTTTTGGACAAACCTTGTTGGTGCCTTTAAAGTAGTGTTGGCTGGCAGTTGGCTTGAACAAACGGTTTTTACTCAGAGGGGGGTTGTCAATCATGTGCCGACATAGGGGTCCCAAGCGGTTTCACTACGGCTCTCGTCCACATGGATTCCCCCTTTTGCCAGGTGCAAGCCACGTTAAGATTGCAATCTGCCGTGTAAGGATTTTATGTGGAGTTGCCGAAGTTTTGGAACCGTAAATTCAATTAAAAGGCAACACGAAAACTGTCATTTTCAATTTGAG